TGACAGGCCAACAGCCACATAATTCTAAATGGGGAAACTCTAAAATACCTTATACTCAAACCACGTACAAGACAAGGTTGTCCTCTATCATGAGTCTTATTCACTGCAGTTCTGGAATCATTAGCTAGAGGCATTAGACATGAGAGATACAAAAGGAATAAGAATAGATAAAGCAGAAGTTAAACTATCATTATTTGCAGACGACATGATACTTCACTTGGAAGACCCAAAACACTCTACCAATAAGTTCCTAGAATTAATAAACAAATTCATGGCAGAACAAAGTCAATTACCAAAAATCAATAGCATACCTCTATTCAGATAACAAACTGAGAGAGAAATTGGAGAAAAAATACGCTTTACAATAGCCTCCAAAAAAGGAAATAGCTAGGAATTATTCTGAATAATTGACTGATTAATTAACTAATTGACTGAATATTTGACTACACAACTAATCTGATTAATTGACTAAGGAGTAAAAGGTCTGTAAAATGAAAATTACATTATTGTGAAGAAATATATAGAACAAGATTTTAGAAAATAGAAAGGTATTCCTTGCTGCTTCATAGGAAGAAGAAACATTGAGAAAATGGCCATATATCCAAAATACTTTCACAGATTTCATACAATCCCAATGATAATAAAACAAATATAACTCACAGATCTCGAGACAACATTCCTAAAAATTACTTGGAATTAGATAAGACGTAAAATTGAAAAGGCAATATTGGGCAACAAAGGCAAGGCAGGAGGCATTGAAATTATACTACAAAGCCAGAGTGATAAAATCAACATGGCACTGACATAAAAACAAGCCAATGAATCAACAGAACAGAGTAAAAGATACAGATGCAAGTGGAAACACACTCAGCCATCTTTTTCTTGTAACATGGGCCAAACGCATTCACTGGAAGAAAGATAGCCTGTTTAACAAATGGTGCTTCAAAAACTATCTGTCCACATGCAGAAAAATAAACTAGACCTGTGTCTATCACCATGCACTAAGCTAAAGTCAAAATGGATTAAATATCTAAACATTAAAACAGAAACACTAAATCTCCTGGAATAGAAAGTAGGTGGAAATCTTGAAGAGATGGGGCTTAACAGACAGTTCGTGAACAAAAATAAAACTTTCCACAAAATATTACAAAGAATCGACAACTGGGAATTACTCTTAGTCTTTTTTTTTCCTTTGGAGAGCCAGGGATTGAACTCATGCCCTTGCACTTGCCAGGGAAGCACTTATTCCACTGAGCCATCTGCCTAGCAAATAGGAATTACTCTTATTGGGAATTTTCTGCACATCAAATGAGATCATCAACAGGGTGAGAAGACAACCCACAAAGTTGAAAAATAATATTAAGCAATAATCACACAGAACAAGGCCTTCTTTCTAGAGTATATAAAGAACTACAAAAGTTAAAGTCCCAAAAGTTAAAGACCCTATACAAAAAATGTGTTTCTAAGATGAATACATACTTTTAAGGGGAAGAAGTAGAACAGACAAATAATTATATAAAAATATGCACCACATCGCTGACAATTCAAGCAATGGAATTTAAAACAAAATTGAGAGACTATCTCACCCAAGAATGAATATCATAAATAAATCAACTAAGAACAAATAGTGGAGAGGCTGTGGTTAGAAGGGAACCCTTCTCTACTGCTTGTGGGAGTGTAGACTGATACAACCACTATGGAAATCACTGTAGAGAGTTTTCCAATAATTAGAACGGGAAATCCCATTCAATCAAGCATTTCCCTTTCTGGGTATTTTCCCAAAAGAACTGAAAGCATTGTACCACAACGGTGTATGTGCACTCATGTTATAACAGCACAATTGGTCACAGACAAACCTTGGAAACAACTAATGCCTATCACCTGAGGATTGGATGAAAAAGATGTGGTTTCTTTTATACAATGGAATATCAATCTATAAAGAAAGACAAACACAAAGCCTTCATTGTTAAGTGGAGGCAACTAGAAGTTATACTCATAAGTGAATTAAATAAGACCCACATGTCTAAATATTGCATAATCTTCCCATTGTAAGCACCCAAATAATTAAACATGAAAGTTATAACAGAAATAGTAAAACAGAAAGAAACTAATTTAAGGAGTAAACAACAAAGATGAGAGAAAGGAGAAAACGTTGGAAAAAAGATAGGGAAAATATTCAAGTATATATTCAGGATGGGTGAGGTGATAGTAATAAAAATTTCCTTAAGATTTTTTTGACAGTAGCAGCTAATGTGTAGAATTTTCACCTTGACTAATGGCAGACTGATATCTGTGATCTAAGAATCTACACCAAGGACAGAAATATGCAACACAAAAAGCATGCTTGAATTCTTGTCATGTTGGTCTTTTAAATGTGTACCATTCCTAATGTTATATCAATTATTATTATTTGTTCTTTGAAATACTTTTTAAAAAGATAAAGCAAAACAAAACAAAACCCCAAGGGGGAGAAGAACAAAAATTTCAGGTTTCTGAAAAACAAGAAATAATATCCCATCATATGTCCAATCTTACATAACTATAGCTGTTAATCAGAGCAACAGATTTGATGATAAAATTAGATAATATATCAAGCAATGCTAAGCACCTATTCTTGTTCTGAAAATCTGAAACTTACATATTATTGTATGTCACCCTGTTTCTGTCATTGTTTCTGATTTTTGTTCTTCTTTTGTCTTATACATTTCAACGTGAAATAATAAAATTAAATTTAATAAAAAGTAAAATAAAATGAATGCTCATTTTTTCATTCAAATATACTCTTACCAGAATCAAGGAACTGCACACGGTGACCAATTAAGATGTGAATCAGAAGTAAGTGGTCAAGATTAGTAATGGAATTCTTAAATTGAAAATGGGGAAGTGGTAGGAGCTGCCTAGATAGCTCAACAGAATAAAGCACCTCTTAGGCAATATGGGGACCATGGTTGGATCTTGGACAGCTCATGCCATGGCAGCCCTGAGCCAGGACCACAGAGCTGGACACAGATTCTAGGTCTAGAGGATCATGTCTGTAATCCAGGGCTGAGGACAACGAAAGCAGGAGTCCCACTATGACTCCAAGTTGCATAGTGAGACCTTGTAACAACCAAATATGAAT